ATCATAATTAATAATAAATATAAACATAATATAAACAAAGTTTAATAAAATCATGTAACTGTAAATATCGTGTTTTTGTATTCATGCATTTTTGCGATAGAAAACGACTGCAGCAGGAAGTGAGACAATAACAGTGATTTACTTTGCGCCACAATATCTCACAAATCCTTAATTCTGAATATTAAATATGCTTGCTGGGATACGCAAATGGATTTAATACGCCGCTCTTCACGCGGACGCGAATTCGATGGATCCTTTCGCCAAAGATTACCTGTGATTTGTAACTTATTTACCGAAACACCACACACGTTCGACCACACGTTACATGAAAAGGAAGCCGACCAGCGTTAGAGGCAGATAGGATTTTTTGCGCATGTGCGTAACTTAATTCTGCATTGCTGCCATCTTGACAGAAAACAGAACTCGTGTCAGAAAAAGCACAAGGGTGCGTTCAGAAATAACACTTGAGTGCACTCAGGGGGTCAATAATGTAACTTTACGTGAAATTTTTCACTTTTCATTTTTCACTTTTTACTTTTCATTTTTTACACCTTGACATTTCACGTGAAACTTTTCATGTACAGTGATTATGTATGTAGCTTGGATGCGTGGAAAGTGAAACATAGTTTCATAGGTTTTATAGCTAATGAAAATTATTTTATTGATACTATATACTATATAGTATTATATATATCTTTTAATAACCAATTGTATATATACTACGTACACTTAATCCTAACGCAGTCCTAATCTTCTCTAATTCCGAAGCATATTTATTAATTCCTTAGATTTCCGCCTTTCCGCCACCAAGATACATGGCGAAAAAGTTCACGTGAAAAATTTCACATTTTTACGTTTGAGAGAGTTACATGATCCCGCAAAATCGTACATGATTGTAAGTTCATATAAAACTTTTCACTTTTCACATTTCCGCCCTAAAGGAAAAATTACATGATTGATCCCCAGGGGGTCGATTGTGTATCGCGAAACTTAGTAAAAACGATAAAAGCGAGCTCTCGTTTAATTGAGTAATTTTCATCATAGTGAAAATGTAATATTTCTCACATGACGTTGCTCGACAAGTCTTTGAATGTCGAATTCAGTCAAATTGTGTCGAGTTTGCATCGTATTAATCCCGGTCTACAATAGATGATTTAAGCCTTAAGCCATAAGAAATGGGTGAATCATAGTCGAAGAATAGGAGAATAATCGTTGGTTAATTTCTTGTAGATCGAGACTTACAATTTAGACGATAGTATGTATATTGATTAATATCAAAAATAATAAATTTCGCTGTTATGTTGCTGATGGAAGAAAATGAAAGAAATAGGAATAGATGTTACCAAAGAAATTTAAGGAGCGTCCCAGATGCGCACATTTTCAATCGGACACACCACTCACATCAGCCGATGACTAGGAATTTCTAGTGAGTCACCTATTAAAAATTTTTTATTTAATCGATCAATCGACATGTGTCCGATTAGACCTCACCCGAAATTTAAATATAATAAGGAGAAGAAATAAAGGCAACACTAGATCCATTTGACATCCCGGATGATACATTTCTCAAATTATACAGATTATGAGCGAAGTATATTTTATTTTAAATTACAATTAGGCTATGCACATAATGGAAGAAATAGAATAGGAATAAATATTAAATATTAAAAAAATAAAGATATTCATAAATATAATGCGAAATGGCTACAAATAAGATATATGACATATTTATATATTTATATATTTTATATCTTAATTTGCAACCATTGTGCATTATATTTAACCTGTATTCTTAATTTCTTATTTTTCTAAAAAACATTTAATATTAACTTCTGTTCCTAATATTTCTTTTAATGCAAAGTCTTACGTATAATATATTCAATATATATTACAATTTATATAAAATTAGTCTATAAATTTTATACTTTAATATTATTGTATATAGATGAATGCATATATTATGCAATATTTATATATTATAGATTATTTAAACTAGCATGATTAATTCTTTTGTTTTTCTGTAACATTTATTATCTATACAGTCGATATTTTTTAACGTGAGAAAGTTATATATGACAAAATGTATTCCGTAGCTCGGACGGGAGCGTTGCGATTGACCACAGTCATTCACAGCGGTTGGTGCCTAGAGGTTTTTCTCTGTTCAAATGCTATAAGTGATTGATCACAATATAAAAAAGAACAGGGCTCTATTCTTGAAACATATCGTATACGAAAATTTTATAGTTTATGTGACATATATTACAGGATTTTCGTATGTGATATGTTTCAAGAATAGATCTATAGTAGGCCTATTCTCTAATTTCTTAATGACAGTTTCACTAGCTAGGTACGTCATTATACAGCTTTTTTTCCCATATTATATCTGCGCAACGACAACGTAACGATAACGATAATATCGGTCCACAATAGATGATTTAAGCTTCAAGAAGTAAGAAATTGACCAATTATAATATTTATAATCGAATATAAAAAGAATCGACTATGATTGATCAATTTCTTACGATTTAAAGATTAAATACTTATTGTGGACCGACACATACTGTCATTAAGAAGTTAGAGAATAGGCCTACAGTAGGATAACTTCTTAGCGGCACCTTTGACACAGTATATACAATGCAATAATGAAAAAGTAATTATTATTAAAAATATTCTGCTTATCTTGTGCTCAAAATTGTAATTATGAAGAAAGAATATTAGCATTCAGAAATGAAAAAATTCTGTAATCATTATTTTAATTTTTTTATTATTATTTCAAACACAATTTCTTGCATAATGATTATTTTAATTCTTGAACTTAATTCTTCACTGATTTAATAGTTAAAATTATTAAAATTATTATCTGATTAATAATTATAGTTATTATTCAATGTTAAATATTTTAAATTAATGTTTGTTTATATTTACATTGATTTGTATATTGAGTATTGGAGCGCGACTGACTGCCACCATTTGTTGGTTGTGCAAAACAGTCATGCGCGAGAGACAATTATTAGTACACTTTTTGACAGAGTGAGCCTACTGTTCTTTTTTATACTGTAAAACGCAACGTCAATTGCAACGTAGTTAAATGGACCACCTCATTCGCATTTGTGATTTTTACTCTCGTGAACATAGGGATATCTTCACTATGCTTATAACCAATCGCGCGTATTTTTTATGTAAGATGAAAGTGCTAGAAGTAAAGAAAGTCGACAAAGATATACAATCGATTCTCAGAAATTAATATTAAATACTTTTTTAATACTTTTTAGAAAAATAAAAAATTAAGAATACCAGTTAAACATAATGCACAATGGATACAAATTAAGATATAAAATATATAAATATGTCATATATTTTATTTGTAGCCATTTCGCATTATGTTTATGAATCCTTATTTTTTTAATATTTAATATTTATTTCTGTTCTATTTTTTCCATTATGTGTTTCCTAATTATAATTTAAAATATAATTTGCTCGTATTCTATACAGAAGAGAAATATATTATCCGGGATGTCAAATGGATCTTGTGTATCCCTTAATCTTCTTCTTATTATATTTAAATTTCTTTGGTGGCATCTGTTCCTATCTTTTTCATTTTCTTTCATTTTCTTCCATCAACGTAACAGCGAAATTCATTATTTTTGTTAATAATTGATGTATATACTATCGTCCTAAAATTGTAATACGATATAAACTCGACACAATTTGATTGAATTCGACATTCAAAAACTTGTCGAGCAATGGCTGCGTTCAGCAAAGAAAGCAGAGTGAGCGTTCAGTGATTCTTTATTATTGGTTTCTACACTTACATTTAACGAAGATCTAAAGGCAAGGATCAATCATATTGAAAAATCACTGATCTGCTTTCTCTGCTGAACGCAGCCATTGTTATGTGAGAATTATCATATTTTCACTATGCTGAAAATTATCCAATCAAGTAAAAGCTCGCTTTTACTAGGTTTTGCGATACACTCGACCCCCAGCAGAGAAAGCTTTGCAAAATCTTTAATATGATTAGTTTATACATTTAGATCCATGAGTGTCGGTCCACAATAAGTGATTTAAGCTTTAAAAAAGTAAGAAATTGACCAATTATAATCGAATATGAAAAGAACACGACTATGATTAGTCAATTTCTTACGGCTTAAAGATTAAATACTTATTGTGGACTGACACTGAGGGATTATGGGCAAAAACCAATCATATCAAAGATTTTTACAGCAGTTGCAAAGCTGTTTTTTCTGCTGAATGCAGCCATTGTCCTATCCTTTACTAAAGAATCCCTACTCTCGCGCTGCCATCAAATCGGCGAATTTGAATTGGAGAGTCGAATTAGCACTTAATAGCGGCTTGTCCTCATTCGTCTAGTAAATAACAACAAATTCTTATTATGCCTATTTTACAATATTCACTGTCAATACTAATAAAAATCTAAAAAATATAGTTTACATGACGTATTTTTATGTATTATCAGCGCTGACAGTAAATTTTGAACACGGTCTATAACGATAATTATAATTCTAGATTTTTTTTTTCACCAGAAGTTGTGTCAAGAAAAAACTCCCCTCCCTCTTTTGACGATATAAAACGTAAGAGCGAGCAGCATGCAACTTATTTGAATCGACATTACCGAGCAAAATCATTGGCAAAATTAAAATTCCAGAGATTAAAATTCCATCAACGATACTTGGTAA